ACTTGGGCATGGAGCCAGGCAGTACAGTACAGCTGTTTGGGGGAGGGGGGTCTCTTCTGGGCCCCCAGTTTCTCATCCGTGGTCAGCCACACAGAGTCCAGCCTCTACTTCCACTCCCAGAGAGCCCTTCACCCCCAACTGTGCCCCCACCCCGCCCCGGGGGTGTTGAGTATGGAGCCCACTTACAAATGAACCATGCAGGGTCTCTCTCTCTCTTTTTTTTTTTTACCGTGCAGGGTCTCTTGAGGGGCAGTCAGGATTCAGGCTCCTCTCGCGGCCCTGCAAGCCCCCACTTCGTGTGAGACACTGGGTCCCCCCAGCAGAGACTACTTCCCAGCTTTTTCCGCCGCTACCCCGCTCCTCTATTTCCCATCCGTGACCCACCGGAAACGCCCAGCGGTCCCTTGGGAGTCTGGGAACAGTTCACGGTGACCTTCCACCCAGCGAGGGAGGAGGCGAGTCTCCAGGAGGAGATGGGCACGTGGTTTACCGAGCGCCAGGCACTGACAGGCCCCTCACCTGGAAACGGCTCGTGTGTGCGCACACACCCACGTCCCCACACCTGGCCCCAAGGAGCAGCCCCAGCAGGGTGGGGCTGCCGTCACTGCCACCAGGCTGCCTGTTTCTACCTGGGACAGACGAGGAGACTGCAGCCCTGGGAGGTGAGGTGCCTCAGCTAGGAAGCGGTGGGACCAGGAAACCTGCCCAGGTGAAGGCCAGAGCGGGCCCCAGGCCAGGCCGGGCTGCCCAAGTAGCCCGCTGACTGCCACCTGGGGGGGCAGGAGACAGCCTCCGGGGAGGAAGCCCCTGTCATGGAGTCATAAAAAAGCCAGACACGGGGTTGCAGCAGCGGGGAAGGGACACTGTGGGGTGCCACTGCGGGGACCTGAGGCAGGTAGTGGGTCAGGTGAGGGGAAGTGGGCATGCGGGGGTCCAGGCACAGAGGAGCCGGGGGGATACTAAGGCTGGGTGGAGTGGTAGGGAGTGGGAGGCCCTAGGATTGCATCAGACACCACTTTCAGGGTGAGCCAGGCTGGTCACTCGGATCCCTGAACTGTCTCCTCATCTGTAACAACGAAGGGGGCCGACATAGGGATGGAATTAGAGAAGGGAGCTGAGGCAGTTAGTCCCCTACCAGAGGGCAGCTGTGGGACAGGCCTCCAGCACGCCCTCTTCTTCCCCCATTTGGTGACAGGCTGACGAGGGGCAGCTGTGGGCGGGGGCATTTGGCATCCCCAGGCCATGCAGCTGGGCCCAACTGGCTGGAAGCCAGGGTCAGGCTGACAGCAAGTACCCAGAACCACCCCCCCTCCAAACGGTGGGTGCAGTTGGTGTGGGACCACGCCTTGCTCATTTCAGAGTTCGGATCCAGCAGAGCTGGGGAAGAAATATGGGCTCAAGGAGGGCAGTACGGGCATGAGCCAGGTCCCCCGATGGACTTCAGGCCCCCTGGAGCCTCCTGAAGTCCAGGCCTCACCAGGGCAGGGAGGTTTCCTGACTTCTTAGAACACCAGACCCTGAATCTTCAGGGTACCGCAGATCCCAGCATCACCCCATCCAGGGTGATCAGTTCCTGCGGCCTTTCAGGAGCCCTGGGCTTTGTGAAACATGGTTTTACTTCACCGTAGTCTGGCCTCACAGAGCGCTGCCCTGGGGGGCTCACACCATTACAGGTGGAGGGGAGCCTCCGACGGGATTTTGGCCGTGCAGCTCTCCTGAGCACAGGGCTCTTGTGATTGGTCACCTGCTGGAACCAGGGAGGTATGTGACCTGCAAATGGCAAGCCCTCGGGCTCCTGCTGGGGGCCAGGGTGGAGGTGGGGGAAAGCCCTTGCCCTGGGCAAGGCTGAAGGCAGCAGCCGAGAACTTGCCCCCTGAATGAGGACCCCTAGAAGTGGTGAGTAGATGTGAGTCCCAGGCAGGTCCCTCAGCCCCCCCTCAGCCCGTCTCTTCACTCCCTGATGGCTGTGAGGATAAATGGAATAAGGCATACAGCATCTGGCAGCCAGGCCGTTCAGGAAGTGCCGGAAGGTGAAGATGATGGAGGCGCCGCCTTCTGGGAGGAATGTTCCAGACCCACTTGCTCCCCAGACCAGTCCAGCCCTGCCCAGTTAGAGGGTTTAGCTGCATCCGGATTACTGACTCGGGAGGGTGGCCACTGAAATGGGGGGCCCAGGCTTCTGCCCAAGCAGCCCCTGAAGTGTGGGGTGTCCTCGCCAGCCCCGCTAGGCTCCACAGGCCCTTCACAGACTCAGACGCCCCCCCCGCCCCCCCCACTTTGCTGTCACCACACTGGGGGTTTCCTCCTCTGTGAGGTGGCTCCTTCTCGGGTCTCAGCTGTAATGTCCTCTCTTTGGGAGGCCCACCCTGACCCCTGGCATCCTCTGTGGGCCCGTTTTCTCATTTGTCCTCTGTCCCTTCCCTGGACTGGGCTCTAGGGGAGGACCTCATTTATGCATCTTGTTCCCTGCTGCACCCCCAGCTCCAAACCAGGACTGATCTTGCTCTCTCCACCCACCTCAGGCAGGGCAGAGGCACCAGCTACCTGTGAGCCACACATCCCCCCCCCCCCCCCCGCCACCCCAGCCCCTGGGTGCCTTCCCTCCCCGCAGGGCCCATCCCCGAGCAGGGCAGCTGCGTCTCTTGATTCTTCATCCAGCAAATCCATGATTATATGTGGCCCTGCTGACGGGGACACAGTCAGATCCCTGTGCCTGAAATTCCACCTTAGTGCTCATCCCTTTGGCTTGTCCCAGACATTCACTGAATGTCTGGGCCGGGCCCCATGCTGGGCTCCGGGAACACAGGGTCAGCCTGACTTGGAGAATCAGTGTGTGGGAATGGAATGAACAGGGCCGGGGACAAGGCCAGTCGCTGCTGAGGTTTACTGTGACAGGGCAGAAGCAGGGGTTGGGAGAGACATGATCTCCGGCTCGGTGGCCGCCAGTCACGCTTGGGTGACTGCCACCCTCTCCTCCCACCTCTGCCCCAGCAGCCCTGGCACCCCTGCTGGGATGCGTCCACATACCCTCTCTGGACCACGGAGGGGATGCAGGCAAGAGGCACGGCCAGCTCCTGGCATGGCTGTTCCCCAAGGCCCCGGCTGTGAGTGTGGCCATCAGGAGCCCTTGCAGCCCTTCTGAGATGGACGTCCACCTCTGCCCGGCTGGGGGTTTTAGACCTTTTCTTAGTATAGAAGTTTTTCTGCAAACGAAATCTTAGGAGGAACTCTAATGTATGAAATTGAAAAGCTGAGAGAGCATCTTCTTGATTGTTTCTGGCGGGCTGTCCCCGGCTTCGTTACCTCTCCCCGTCGTCATCTGGTCCCAGCAGCACCCTGGGGATTCCCCAGAACCTGGTTTGGGGACACCTGTTCTCAGTGCCCACAGAGCCCTTTCTGTGGGATGTTGGTCTGTGTCTGCATTGAGCCCCCTCTTCCCCTCCCCAAAGCCACCCACCAGGAGTCCCTGCTTCCTCCTCAGATGCCGCAGTCTCCCTCCTGTGGCAAACATTCACCCGCCCCTCACCAGATATTGTTTCATCCCTACCGGGTGGTCGCTCTCTCAGGCAGTGTTCCAAACACTTTAAATACATGAAATCCTCACCACAGCCCTGTGACCTGAACACCGTGGCTCCACCTTGCTGCCTCTGCACAATGAGGCCCAGCCCCCTGCACCCTTAGGTGCCTCCCCTCCCCGGGCTTGGGCTCAGCTCCTCTGTGGCTCTGCTCCTCCCCTTCCTCCTTTCCAGACTTTCCCAGGTCCCACCTCCAGCCCACGTCTTCCCCTGAGGCTGGGACCCTCCTCCTGCTCCCTCCCTCTGCCACCCCAGCTGCTCACCGCTCAGCGCCACTCCCCACCCTGGCCCTAGGTCCCAGGCTGGATGCCCCAGGCTGCCTCCTCGCCTCCGGTACCCTCCCCTCTGCTCCTGCTGCCTCCTCCCAAGCCCAGCCCCACCATTCCCCCAGGGCTGGTGCGGTCAGCCCAGCCCCCTGCCCCGTCCTCCCCAGTCGTCCTCCCCAGTCCCGTCTAAACCTGCTCGCTCCAATTCCATAGCAGCTAGCACATGTGGCTACTAGACTAAAATTCAAATTAAGTTAAATTATAAATTAGTTCCTCCGTCTCCCAGTCAATTTCAAGTGCTCGGTAGCCACGTGGGGCTAGCGGCTGGTGTGTTGGACAGCATAGCCTGGCTGTTTCCACTGTCACGGAGAGTGCTGCTGGGTCGCTCTGGAAGCCGCTACTGGTCACCCTCGGGCACAGGGGTTGCTCCGCTCAGAGCCTTCAGGGGTCTGGGGCTCAGGCCAATGGCACCACCCCCCGTAAGTGGAGGCCGCGTGGGTGTGCACAGGTGAGCAGAGGAATGCTCTGCAAGTTGCTTTGCCCTCTGAGCTTCGGTTTCCTCATCTGTAAAGTGGGGATAATAAGTCCTACCTCCAAGGGTGGCTGGGAGGGTCAAGTGTATGTAAAACATATGCCGACAGCTGGTGCATATCTAAGCGTGTGATGAGTGGTGGCCATGACCTTAACATGAATAAGGCAAGGTAGGGCCAGATGTCAGGAGGCAGGGGTCACAACAGCCATGAGCCTGAGTGCGGGACAGTGGGAGCCACTGCAGGCTTCTGAGCCTGAGCATGACTAATCTGTTTAGCCTCCAGCACTGTCCAATAGAACATTCTGAGCTCGTGGAAATGTTCTTTGTCTTCCCTACCCATGGGCCTCTGGGGACCAGACACTGATGTCCTTGGTGGGTCAATGACCAGTGGGGAAAGAGGAGAAGGCCCCGGGGAGCTGAGGGCAGGTCCCAGCCTTGGGAACCACTTTCTCAGGCACATGCTAACAACCACTCTGTGGGAAAGTTCTCAGGCGTCTGGCAGGGGGCTGGAATCAGGCCGAGTGGGAAGGGGTTTGGAGCAAGGAGAGAGGGCCAGGGCACATGGGCTGGTTGTGGGGGAGGGGGACGGGTGGGATTCACCATGGAAAGGGCTCCTGAGCGTGAGCATTGGGCTGAAGCTTCAGCCAGCCCCCTGCCCTGGAGCTAAGCCAGCAAGAAAGAGTAGGGCCCAGATTCTTGTGCCCGGGGGAGTGGCCTGGGCACCCCATCTGGCTGGTCCAGGAATGGCTCGCAGTGTAGCTGTGCCTCTCTTTTGGGCCTTTTTTCTTATCTGTGGCTGGGAGTAGCAGCAGTTCTCCCACCCGCCTCATGGTGAACAGGGTTTGCCAGGACTTTCCAGTTCCTGGGCAGCTGGGGTCCTTGGCCAGGGCTGGCCCTTTGAGCCGACTTCTCTCTGGGGAGTGCTGGGGGGTAGAAGTCCTGGGGACTGGGCATCAGGGTACATCAGACCCTCCCTTAGCTAAGCTGTTCGTGTTTAGCCTCAGACAGAACCCCCAAATATGCAGCCCCGCTGGGCCCCAGGTCTACCTGTCGGCAGGTGCAGCGTGCTTGGGGAATCTTGGTTCCCATCTGCTTCATTCCCACAAGCCCTGTGTGGCTGAGCGAGTAGCTTAACCTTGAAGCGTCCATTTCCTCATTTATAAAATGGAGACTCACATACCTTCCTCCAGGGTGGGCCCCAGGAAGGGCCCCCAATTTCTCCAGCTGTTGCAAGGGCAGCGCCTGGCACACTGCAGGGTCTTGGGAAATGTCCACCAGTAGCCTGGATGATGCGCTGGCTGTGGGGTGACCCCCGCGTGTAGGCTTGACCCTTATGGAGCTCTGCCTGATGGATAGGAGCTGAAGGAATGAATAAAATGATGAAAGCTAAAGAAATAAACAGAGCGTCAGTTGTTTCTCGCATCTTGCCAGAATTCTGGAATTTGTCGGACTCCGTAGCTGCCTCCTCTGCCCGTCTCTCCGTGTAGGATCGTGGAACCTCACATTAGAAGGACTCTTTTTTTGCCTCGGAGTCTTCTGATTCCTCAGGCGCTGCCTTGCTCTGCCTAACCCCAAGGAAGGACCCGGAAGCAGTTGCAGAAGCCCCAGGGAGGCTGATTTAGGTCAATAGGAGGAAGAATTTCTACCAGCCCAACGTGCTTGGAATGGGTGGCGCTAAGAATTGGACAAGCAGAGGCCAGATGGGCACTTGGCAGGAGCACTGGCCTGGGGTGAGGGTTTGGACAATATTCTTACTCCGGGGCCCTTCAGACCCCGGGAGAGGAGTCTGGAACCTCTGTGGGGCTCCAGGTTCCCTGGGCTCCGAAAGCCAGATGAGTCACTGAGATTGCCCGGTAGGGTGTTGGGTGCCAGTCAGTAGTAAGCAGCCTTCCAACTGGCTCAGTCCTTTAACAAAGCCGGCCAGGAGCAAGCCTGGCGTGTTTAGTCATGTCATCTGCATTTGGTTGCCTGGCAGGAAAGGCAAATGGAAGGAAAGAAACAGGCATTTTTAGAGCATCTACCAAGTGCTGGGCTCCATGCAGGATGCTTTGATACCACGGCTCATCCAGATCTCCCGACAGGACTGCAAGGGAGAGGATATCTTCCTTCTACGGCTAAGACTGAGGCTCAGAGAGGCTAAGTAACTTGCCTGAGGGCACACAGTAAATTACAGCACTGGGGTTCAAGCCAAATCTTCCTGATTTCCAGTGACAATGAAGGTCAATGTTCACTGAGCACCTACTTGATGCATAGACACAGTTACTAGTCCTTTGCATGGATTAAGGCATTTGTTATACCTCCATTTTACAGAGAAGGGGAACTGAGGCCGGGAAAGGTAGGATAACTTGCCAAGGTCAGGGGCAGTGTTCAGATCTGACGTCACAACCACTGTGCCTACCCTGTGTCTTAGGCAGAGTTTGCTGCCAAGATACACCTCCTGCCTCCCTCATGGAGATGGGCAGAGCCCTTGGGTCACATAGGGTAAGACTGGAATGGGGTGGAGGTGAGCACAGGGAGGCGGACTTCAGCTCAAAATCAAGATGCCCTTTCTTTTTTTTTTTTTTAAGATTAATCTATTTATTTGACAGAGACACAGCGAAGAGGGAACACAAGCGGGGGGAGTGGGAGAGGGAGAAGCAGGCTTCCTGTGGAGCAGGGAGCCCGATGAGGGGCTCGAATGTGGAGTGCATTCAGAGGTGCTCCCAGGTGGGGTTTGTAGATGGGCCATTTCCTGCCCAAGAGTGGAGATGAGGTGAGCTGTGCAACCTCCCAAGATTTCCCCTCATGGCATTTCCAGAGCGTCCTGAGCACCTACTAGGTGTCAAACCTCTTTGCTGCTGGACGCAGAACAAGCTGATCCCTTCACCCTGTGTAGGAGTTGAGTGCCCCGTGGCTGCTCCAGAACTGAGGACACCGGGGATCAGGTGTCATGAGGCAGGCAGGGAAGGGGGCCAGAGAATGGTGGGCAGGGGAAGTGGCCATTAAGACATGAGCCACTGAACCACGGAGGAGGCTGGCAGGGGCCAGTGAGAGGCTGGTGGAGGCCATTCCCAGGGCTGAGCTAGGACCGTGGTCAGCGCAGGCGAGCTCAGGACCATGGAGAGCTCCACAGGAGCCTCCCGTCACTCCGATGACAGCTGTCAGGGTATGTCTGCATCCATGAGGCTACTGTCAGCCTGGCCAGGAGTCATAGCCTGTGGTCTCCAGGGAGCACCTGTCCTCTCTGCCCAAGAGCCACCCCCCAGACAGCCTGAGCCCTGACCCTGAGATTATGGATGGGTTGTGGGGTTTGGGCTCATCTGCTTTCTTCCCTTACCCAGTCAACTTTCTAAGCAGAGCCCAGAGAAAGAGGGCACAAGGAGGAGAAGGAAAGAGTAGGAAGAGGAGGGAAGGAAGAAAACCTGCCCAAGGGCACCTTCTGGGGCATGGCCACAGCCGCAAGTCAGCACAAGAAGAGGAGGCCCAGGGTGGGCTGATCCTGCCACCATCCTGGGTCAGGGTCAGCCTTAGCCTCCCCCCTCCCTGATTATCTGCTACCAGGAAGCACCCAGCACCCCACCCCCACCTTCACTCAGGAGACCCAGGCCCCTGGGTGTGTGTATGTTGGGTGGGGGTGCTGGGGAGGCTCTTAGAGAGCCTGAAATTCCTCCTTTCCCCGGCTCCCCAGGAAGCAGGGCGCCCTTCCCCAGCCCCTCCACCATCCGGCTCAGTTTCTGCCTAGGCTTCACTTGCTGAGCCCCTGCTCTGCTCCTTGCTCCTCTGAGACGGAACAGCACCCACCAAGGCCCAGGCTTTGCCAGGGGCTCACCTCCAAGCTTTTACTCTTGCCGTGCCCCCACCCAAAGGTTCTCTCTGCCAGGCTGGGATATAGCAACAGGAGTAAGAAGAGTTATAGTGTATTTCGTACTCACTATGCGCCAGGCACTTTATATGGATTATCGAACCCTCATTTTATAGATGAAAAAAAGGAGGAAAGTTGTGAACTTGCCCAAGGCTACACAGGAGATGGCAGAGCCAGGATTTGGAGTCTTGTTCCAGAGTCTGTGTGTATGGAAGTGATGGTGAGCACATTGAGGAGGCCCAGGGCAATGCAGGGTGCTTTTGTTGAGCACCTTCTGTGTACAGCTCCCTGCCCCAGGTTGCTGGTAGCCCAGCTGGGGAGACAGGTCAGGGAAGGTGAGCTCAGCATGGTGAGCATTGGCAACAGGGCAGGGCTATGGACTGGTCTCTCTGATTTGGTGTCTCATATAAAATAGGCAGGACAGGAATGATTATATCCATTTTATAGATGGGGGAGTTGAAGCTCAGAGAGGCCAAGCATTCTTGAGACTCAGGTTGACAGTGGCTATATAAACCCAGAGGCTGATGCAGGGAGTCAGGAGGAGGGTTGGCAGAACTCAGTATGGTTCTTCCAGGTCCTAAACCGGGGCAGAAGCCACTTGGTTTCAAGAGAGGCCGGCCCTGACACAAAGCAAGCACTGGAGAAATATCCAGTGAATTTTACTGAAATGAGTAAGGGCCTAAGTATGGCCTCTGAGCTGCCTAAGGTCATCCTCAGCAGCAGGAGGGACCCAGACGGGGGTTTTGTCCTTAGGGAACTGCCTGCCTAGTAGGCCTTGGAGGGCAGTGGGCCAGCCCATTAGAGACCCCAAGTCCTTCCTCAGCTAACTTGCTTCTCCAGGCAGGTCCTGGCCACTGCACCCCACCTGGGGTCCTGAGTTCCCAGAGGGGCTCAAGCTAATGCATGCCAGCCAGCAGGAGTAGGGAGTGGAGAATGGTGAGCTGGACAATGCTCCCCAACCCAGCTCCTCCTCCCAGAGCCCACAGGGAGACGTCAGATCCAAAGCATTGCTCACCCCACCCCCATCTACCCTGTGAAGCTTCTAGACCAAGCATACTGTGGAAAGGACATGATATTTGGATCCAGAGACCAAGGTCAACAGCCAGGCTCTGCCATTAGCCGGCGAAGCGACTGGCCACGCCCCTCACTCAGCCTCAGTGTTTGCATCTGCTAGGAGGGATGCTGCTTGAGGGTGAGAGCGAGGACCTGCAGAGACGGCCTGACTCAAAGCCCAGCTCTGCTGTTCACCCATCTCCGTGAAGGCTGTTGAGGGGTGGCCCCCACCCCAGTCAAAGGCTTCTCCGTCCTTCTCGGTCCAGACTCCTTGCTCACACTTCACATCCAGGTCTTCAGCAAATCCAACAGAACCTAAGCGCTTTCTGCACGGCTCTCACCGTGGTTCAAGCCGCCCCCGTCACACCTGGATGGTGCTGAGGTCTCCTCGCCGCACTCCCTGCTCCACCCTGCAGCCAACCGCGTCCTCTCAACAGAGCAGCCCGAGTGAGTCTGTGCAGACCAAAGTCAGGTCATGTTCCTCCTCTGCCCAGAATCCTGTGAAAGCCACATTTCCTGCTGTGACCCCAGGCGCCGTGTGATCTGGGCCCATCCTGTCCGCCTCCCTCCTGAGCACCGGCTGTTCCTTTTTCCCAGAACCTTCTTCCCCTGCCCCCTCGTCTTTGTCAAGTCTCCGTCTTCTCAGTTAGGCCTGCACTGAGCACCCTGTTTGTCACCGAGCCCACTCTACCTCCTTGCCTTTACCCAGCTTTTTCTCTGGAGCACGACTCTTTCTAATGTGCAGTATTACTTGACTCATTTATTTCTAATTTATTGCAGTCCCTTGTCCCGTTCACCCCTGGGTATGCTGCACGGAGGTGGGGTCCTCGTTTGCCTTGTCTCCTGGGTTCCCAGGGCCTAGCACAGTGCCTGGCACACAGCGGGCTCTTGATAAGTAGTTGCTTCGTGAGTGGGTGATAAGGGTCAGGTGGGCATCCTGTGGGGTATTGTGTGGGTCAGATGTGATGGTGGCTCTTCCATCCCCTGCCTTGTCTTCACTGGCCACCAGTAAACTCTTCATGGGTGTCACCCTACTTGGGTTAAATGTGGCAGATGGAAAGACAGATTTACCACTGGACCCCACAGAGTCTGACCCTTACTAATTGTGTGACACTGGGTAAGTTATGTCATTTTCTGGCCTCGGTGTCCTCATCTGTAAGATGGGGATGACAACGGGGCCTGCTTCATGTTGAGAAGATTCAATGAGATCTAGTGTGGAATGTGCTTGGGACAGTCACTGGTTTGTGAGCGTCAAAGACCTTTGCTGTGATACCTGATGGGTTCTCGACGAAGCTTTATAACGGAGGTAGAAATTCTGCCAGCTGGGGCCTAATTTGGTTCCGCGGATTTAGCCCACAGCTGGGCCACCTGGAGGGCTCAACTCAGCTGTAAGGAGGGAGGGAGGTGCTGACACGGGAACAGAACTGTCCTAATGGCCTTTGGGAAAAGCCTTGTCATCTTTCTGAATCTCCGTTTCCCCATCTGTAAAATAGGTGGTTACAGTAACCTCCCAGGGTGCATGAGATTTGCATGAGACCTCAGGAGCCCATGCTTTATTTATTCAGTTTCCTATTTAGATGCCACTCAGTGGGGAAAAAAAATATTTCAAGCATTTATTAAAGAAATACATGAAGATAAGATAAAAAGGGATCGGGGAGTAAGAGTGAAGCTGAAAGTGAAGGTGTCCCAGAAAATCTGGTCTGTGAGGCACTGACTTGCTCCAGGCCGACCACCGTGTGCTTTGGCATTTTCTAAGCAGCCCAAGTAATGAAATTAGCCACACACACTTCTTTGATTCTCTGCAGCAAGCCAGGCTGGAGCCTCATCAAGGGGCCTCACTCTGAAAGCCCCAGTGAAAGGGGGATCCCAAGCACTGGTGAGTCTGTCCTCCGAAGGGCACATCTGGCCAGGTGTGACCAGGTCCTGAAAGCCAGCCTGGCCGGGGAGCCGAGGGGCAGCTGGGCCAGGGTGACCCTGGCGAGGCTGTAGGGGCCCTTCGCGCCCAGCAGGGCCACTGCTGCTGGGGGAATGAGCGGGAGCGGCAGCCTGGCCCCGCCCTCCACAGCTCATGGGCTAGTTCAGTCCAACAAGGGCCAGGATGGGGGTGTGCTCCTCTATGGAGCTTGGAACCAGTGGGAAAGAAGAGCCTGCCAGAAGGATCAGGGCTGCCTTACTAGGTCCTCAGGGCCCTCTGGCGGGTCAGTCTGGAGGCTTCTGCTGTGCTGACCTCCCATCTGCGGTGTTGCCTGATGCCTGGCCTCTGCCACAGCAGGAACTCCTATCTACCCATCTTTATCGGCCTCACCCCTCTGCCCCGCCACTCACCCTGCTGGCCTGGTCTGCCTGGTCTCACTTTGCCAGAGTAGGGCTGGGATCCCTTAGAGAGAGTGGAGCCCAGAAGACCTACTTCCAAATGTTGCCAAGGAGCAGCCCCTCCCTCCCACCTTCCCAAAAGCCAGTGGAGACCAGCAGCAAACCGCCCCCGCCCTGGGACAGCTGACATTTAGCAGAGGCCAAGTTCTCCGCCCCAACTGTCCTACCCGACTGCCGGCAGTCAGCTGTACCAGCCACCCTCGGGCAGGCTCCAGGAGGGCTGGGCATTCAAACTGGAGGAGGTGGGTCCCCTTGGACCTGATAGTGCAAGTACCCCGGCCAGGGGACTTGGCAGCCACTCCACTGTTCCTCACCACCCTGCTCAGGACTCCTCACCAACGTGAGGCTGGGAAGGGGGTGGAACAGGAGGCAAGCCACCCAGGTTCCTGCCCCAGCTTTGTAACATCAGGCGGGTCCCTGAAGCCCCCTGGGTCCTGGTTTCCTCCTCTGTAAAATTAGAAGGTTGGAGGAGGTGGTTCTTAAAATTTGTTCTAGATCAAACATTTCATGATTCTGTGCCTTATGACCACATAGCTTAGAGAAAAGTATGTTGGAATCTTCCAGCCTTGAAAGGACGGAAATTTATTGAGCACCTGCTGCCCACCGGGAACGCTGTACCCATTTCACAGGTGTAGAAACTGAGGTTTAGAATGGCGAGGAGCCTTGCTTAAGATCACAGAAGTTTGAAGCCAAGTGTGCATCTTTCCACTCTCCCCTGCTGTCCTCAGAGTTAGGAAGTGGAGAGGAGTGTATGGCAGCAAGGCACCCAAATGACCCAGAGAAGTAAGGAGAAGCCACAGAAAGGAACATTTGAAGGGAAAGAATGTTCTACGTGGAGGGACAGTGCCTCACTCATGGGGATCTATGGAAGGGAAAATGCAAACACCAGATGCCAAAGGTCAGTTCCTGTCCTAGCCCCTCCCGAGACTCGATAGATCATCCAACCATCATTGGTCCTACTTGGCCCAGTGAGTGTAGCCTCCCAGCCTGCCTGCCCACCTCCCTGGGCTCTAGGACAAAACAAGCTGGAGGATTATGGTCAGAAGTGTGTTCTTGCTCCGCAGGTTCATTCATGAGATAAATAGCACATCTGAATGAAGTATGGACTTCAGTTAATAGTAATGTGGCCATTTCAATTTTCGAGTTATGACAAATGTATCATGGTGGTGTAAGACATTAACCACGGGGGAGACCGAGCGAGGAGTGTAAGGGAACCCTCTGTACTATCTTTGCAACTTTTCCGATACGCTACAAATATTCTGCAATAGAAAGTTTACTTAAATTGTAAAAAACAATATACAAGGCTCTCCATTCCACAGCCATAAGCTAATTGATAAATTGAACTGTGTAAGTGAATAGAAAGAATGGTTATACTCATGAGTCACTCATGAATAGAGAGTGATTCATTCAAAATAACCATGGGATATTGTGTGGGATTTAAAAGGAAATGGTAGATTTATTACCACTGATACGAAAATCTCTTTATCATTGATTGAGGAAAACAGCTTGATTGTACTTAATATCCAATATGGTAATATTTATGAAAAACAGGAAATCAAAAACAAATACTGCATATAAAACCAGCAACACACCTCAAACAGATCAAAGGGGTAATGAAGGGGAACTTTTACTTATTCTTTTAAATATGTTAGAATTAAATGTGTTTCCTTGAGACCTGTGCATTTTTTCAGTGAAAAGGAATTAAAAAGATAAGTCAAGCGCATCTGGGTGGCTCAGTCGGTTAGGCATCTGCCTTTGGCTCGCGTCTTGATCCTGGGGTCCTGGGGTAGAGCCCCGCATCGCGCTCCCTGCTCAGCTGGGAGTCTGCTTCTCCCTCTGCCCCTCCCCCTGCTCATGCGCTCTCACTCTCTCTCAAATAAATAAATAAAATCGTAAAAAAAAAAAAAAAAGATTTGTCAACATATCCACAAAAGAAAGAAAGAAAGAAATGAAAAGAAAAGAGAGGAAAGCACCCTGGGCAGGGCAGGGCAGGGAGGGGACGGACCCACGTTGGCAGCCTGCAGCCCCCTCTGCCCCTCCCTTGGGGCAGGTTCTGCACTGCAGAGTTGAGCTTTTCCCAGGCTGCATTGTTCCTAGAGCAAAGCCTAGCGGTGAAGCCGAAGCCGTTCTGGTCAGGGGAAGCAGGCCAGGTGGAGGATCAGGCTGCAGCGGGGGTGGGTGTGGGTGGGTGTGGTGACCTGGTGCTCTCTGAGGGGAAGGGAGGAGGTCCTGAGCCAGGAGGGGAATTTCCTTGTTGCCTCGCCTTCCAGGGGTACTTGGTACAGCGAGTTGGGACTCACAGGCTGGACTCGTGGGGGCCAGGAGGTGACTTCCTGTAGGGGCGCCAGGCACTGGCCAGGACGTTCACAGACACGGTGACTGCAAAGGCCTCCCTGGGGTCCCTCCCTTAGGAGAGGGGCCTCAGGCTGTCCTCACCCAGGTCTGCAGACCCCTGACCCGTCCGCTCTGTCCCTCTTTACTGCAGGATGAAGATGAGACGCTACAAGCTCTTTCTCATGTTCTGTATGGCCGGCCTGTGCCTCATCTCCTTCCTGCACTTCTTTAAGACCCTGTCCTATGTCACCTTCCCTCGAGAACTGGCCTCCCTCAGCCCGAACCTCGTGTCCAGCTTCTTCTGGAACAATGCCCCCGTCACGCCCCAGGCCAGCCCGGAGCCGGGCAGCCCCGACCTGCTGCGAACGCCGCTCTATTCCCACTCGCCCCTGCTCCAGCCGCTGTCACCAAGCAAGGCCACCGAAGAGCTCCACCGGATGGACTTCGTGCTGCCCGAGGACACCACCGAGTATTTCGTCCGCACCAAGGCGGGAGGCGTCTGCTTCAAACCAGGCACCAAGATGCTGGAGAAGCCCCTCTCGGGGCGGCCCGAGGAGAAGGCCGAGGGGGCCGACGGCTCCTCGGCCCGGGGCCCGGCCCGGCACCTGCTGAGCGCCCGCGAGCGCCCGGGGGCCCGCGGCCCGCGGCGCAAGTGGGTGGAGTGCGTGTGCCTCCCGGGCTGGCACGGGCCCAGCTGCGGCGTGCCCACCGTGGTGCAGTACTCCAACCTGCCCACCAAGGAGCGCCTGGTGCCCCGCGAGGTGCCGCGGCGGGTCATCAACGCCATCAACATCAACCACGAGTTCGACCTGCTGGACGTGCGCTTCCACGAGCTGGGCGACGTGGTGGACGCCTTCGTGGTGTGCGAGTCCAACTTCACGGCCTACGGGGAGCCGCGGCCGCTCAAGTTCCGCGAGATGCTCACCAACGGCACCTTCGAGTACATCCGGCACAAGGTGCTCTACGTCTTCCTGGACCACTTCCCGCCGGGCGGGCGGCAGGACGGCTGGATCGCCGACGACTACCTGCGCACCTTCCTGACGCAGGACGGCGTGTCGCGGCTGCGCAACCTGCGGCCCGACGACGTCTTCATCATCGACGACGCCGACGAGATCCCCGCGCGCGACGGCGTGCTCTTCCTCAAGCTCTTCGACGGCTGGACCGAGCCGTTCGCCTTCCACATGCGCAAGTCGCTGTACGGCTTCTTCTGGAAGCAGCCGGGCACCCTGGAGGTGGTGTCGGGCTGCACGGTGGACATGCTGCAGACGGTGTACGGGCTGGACGGCATCCGCCTGCGGCGCCGGCAGTACTATACCATGCCCAGCTTCCGGCACTACGAGAACCGCACGGGCCACATCCTGGTGCAGTGGTCGCTCGGCAGCCCGCTGCACTTCGCCGGCTGGCACTGCTCCTGGTGCTTCACGCCCGAGGGCATCTACTTCAAGCTCGTGTCCGCCCAGAACGGCGACTTCCCCCGCTGGGGCGACTACGAGGACAAGCGGGACCTCAATTACATCCGGAGCTTGATCCGCACCGGGGGCTGGTTTGACGGCACGCAGCAGGAGTACCCGCCGGCCGACCCCAGTGAACACATGTACGCCCCCAAGTACCTGCTCAACAACTACGCGCAGTTCCGCTACCTGCTGGACAACCCCTACCAGGAGCCCAAGAGCACAGCGGCAGGTGGGCGGCGGAGCAGGGGTCCCGAGGGAAGGCCACCCGCCAGGGGCAAATTGGATGTGGTTGAAGGCTAAGGCTGCGCGATCTTAGAGGGCCAGTGGCAGGGTGGGGGGCGGCGGCTGCCCCTCCTGGTATTTTCCTGCCTCCCTCTGCCCTCTGGCTGGTTTTTGAGAAGCCCGGGAGTGGAGGGGTGGAGGAGTCGTCCCTACTCAGGCCCTCGTGAATCAAGGGTCAGGCCTGTGAGCTCACAAAACATCCTTCCTCATCAGGAGAGGGGAGTCCAGCCCTTCCGACCACCAAGAGCCCTGTGGCAGGGGGGAGTGCCAGCCGAGAGTGCATGATGGTTACTGGGTAGCAAGGGAGGGCGGGCAGGGTGGGGAAGGGAACCTGCAGGAGCTCCCCAGGGCCACCAGGTGGGAGCTGCGGCCCCTGCCAGGAAGAAACCTACCATTTGGCCTCCTGGGGCTTTGGACCGGCAGCGGAAAAGTGGACGTGTCAGGAGGGCCTGGGGCTCTGTAAATAGATGCTTTGGGGTCCAGGAGGAAAAGGGGACACCAAGATGGGAGGGGATGAAAAACAGCAGCCAGCTGGGAAGAACTGCAGTGTCCTCAGAAGAGCTGAGCCAGAGGGAGCTGAGAACTCTGCCCCATAGGCCACCCCTGTGCTGGATAGCACCTTTGGGGTAGGCAGGGGTCTGCGGAAGTCCAAGGAGTCTTCCTTTTGGTTCCAAACCTGGCCTTGACATTCCTTCTTTCTTTGATATTGCTGTCTTGTGGGCTGCCCACTCAGTCCTTGCAAGGCCAAGAGTCCAGTTCTCAGGGTGGGATGGGAGCCAGAGGCTGGACCATCTACCAGCCTCATAGGTCGGGCCTGGGAGGGGGCGTGGGGGAGGAGGCGGTTCCCCATTACCCCATCCCCAGCTCCCCACCGTCTCTGGTAGAGTCACCCTTGCGCCCCTTCCTGGGGCTGGCTAGAGCCAGGAAGGGCCCACGGGGCTGCCCTGGACCCAGGAGGGACTTGAAAGCCAGCTGTATGTCATCTCATTCCTCTTTGCCTCATGAGGGCAGGGGATGTATTGGTTAGATTCTAAGCTGCTCTAATTAAGAAGCCCCAAAATACAGTGGTTTAAGCAAGACAAGCTTGTTTCTAGCTTAACTTGTCTAGAGAGAGACGGTCCAGATCTGGTAAGGCAGCTCTGCTTTCCTTCATATGCACCGTCCAATTCTGGATAGAGTGGTTGCTTCAGCTCCCACCGTCACATGTGCATCCCAGCCCAGGGGAAGCAGAGAACGGGAAGAGAAGTACATGCCCTTTCCTTATAAGGGCATTGAGCCCGAACCCGGCAAGTTCACTTCTGATCACATCTCACAGGCCAGGTCTTAGTCACATGGCCACAAGTAGCTGCAAGGGAAGCTGGGAAAGGTAGTCTTCAGCCACATGCCCAGCCTCAGCCCGAGAGTTCTCTTAGTAAAGGAAGGAGGAGAGAATGGAGACAGGAGACAAGAGCGTCTCTGGCCCAGAGGGAGGGGAATGGGGAGAGAGAGCGTAGGAATGACTAACGCAGTCCTAGGATCCTACTCTCACATTCAGAACTCCTAGAAGCACCTGCTCCTGCCCCCACTCACTGCCAGCCCAGGGTTGGGGGGCAGTTAGAGCCTGTGGTTGTAGGAGGGGTGATAACACCCCCCCCTCCCGAGGCCCCGTAGATGTTCACCCAGTGATGCCAGGATGCAGAGCCTGCCTGTGGGACGGTACATGTTTGTGCGTGTGTGTGTGTGTATATTTATGGGCATGTGTGCATGCTTGGTGTGTACTTGTACGTGTCTGTATTGGGGTGTCCCTGTAAATATATGCTTCTGTATGGATGTGGGGGCAGGGCCCAGGCCTCCCCTTCCCCAAGACCTGGAGCCTGTGGCCACACCTCCTTGCGGCTCCCACAAAGTAACTGAGGCAGAAAGCCCTTGGGGAGCCTAGAAAGCAAGGCTAAAGGGGGTGCGGGGTCTGTCTGTCCATCCGTCTTTCAGTCCAAGGAATGAGAATCCTCCTGACTTGAGGGCTGAACATCTGAGAGCTCACTACTTCTCCAGCCCATCTTGGTCCCAACCATATCCTTCCATCCGGTCCCACCCAGCGTCGAGCCTGGACTTTCTCTGGATGTCTTATTGGGGTTTCCTGATGGGCCAGGAGAGAAGGGCGTCTCCTTTGCCACAGCTCCGTCCAAGGAAATGTCTGGCGTGGGCATGGTCTGGGGAGCTGGCCGCAGAACAGCCTCTGGTGGGCAGGCATGAAGCGGGCGGAGGGGGCTCTCTGGCCTCCACTGTCCCTCCCCAAGGGAGTCCGTGGCGTGCCCGGAGGGAACCCCTCCCTTGGAGTTATAACAGCTGCTCTCCCAGTCCCTCTTGGAGCTGAGAAGTGGCGAAAGAGGTCAGAATGTCCCTGTGGCTCTGGGCCAACTCAGGCCAGGGCCTGCCTTCCCAGCCACCTCTGCTCACCTCCTGGACTGGAGGTCTCTGGGGGCTCCTGAATCATGCCTGAGCCCTAGCCCAGGGTGGGCTTCCTCATCCCATGCCCCCGGCACACTCAGCTGCTGTGGGGACGCCCCCTCCCCAGGCTGGCGGGGGTCCCTGGGCTCCAGTTCACCAGCTCCAGGGCAGGGGAAGGAAAAGGGGGGGAGCTCAGACCTGTCAGGCCCCACTTTCCCTCTCAGACCCAGAGCATGTTTGTGGTCACTGCCAAGGGGAGACCTGGCCATTGGGTGGAGAGGGCGGCCATCAGAGGGGTGGGGGGGGCCGAGGTGTGGGGTTGAAGAGTTTCACTTACACTCACATCATACACTGGGAATTTGGGGGGGCAGGGGAGCCCTGGGCCACTCCCCCAATATGAAAGGAAACCAAACTGTGAATGGGAGTGCGGGCACGCTGCTGGCCCTGTCACCGTCACTAGGTGTCTTTCCCTGGGAACCACTGGCCCTATGACCTCCAGAATCAGGAGGCTCAGCCCACCCACAGGTCATGTCAGTTCACGGGGCAGGTTTGCAGCGGTGGACATGGGAGAGCTTTGGGGGCAAAGGTGGCAGGCGGGGAGGGGAGACAGGACTTCTCCAAGTGGAAGGCAGGGCCCTGGGAAATGCATAATTTAAGGACGCCAATGATAATAGTATTATTTTTTTTGTAAGGGAAAATCAATATGTACATTCTGAAATCATTTTCTCTGTAAATGGTTGGATTTCATTTCACCCTTAAAGGGATGCTTAAAGGAAAAGATAATATTAATAATAAAAACAGCTACAAAGTCTGAAAGGTACGCGTGTGGGGCCAGTTTGGGGGTGCTCTGGGTCAGGGAGGGGTGCAAGGGAGTGGTTCTGGTCTTCTTAAAGACCTCCTCACTGCCAGGGCTGGGCCAGTGGGGTGCGAGCCTCCCCATGAACCCGGTGGCTGCTGGGGAGAAGGGGGACACGCAGAGCCCCTTCACGGAGGGATGCAGTCACACATGCGCACGCACGCACACACACACACACACGCATACACACACGCACGCCATCAGGGGAGCTTCCTGCCCCACCCCACGCACACCTGGTGGAAACGCCGGACAGGGGAAAGTGCTGGAAGGAGGGCCACAGAAAGAAGAAGTGGGCCCAGGACTGGCGACATTCACCCTCCCGGGTGGGCCGGTACCCCTGCTGTCTCTGCCCAGAGGGGAGACATCCCCCCAGTCCTGCTCTCGGGTCATCCAGACAAACGCTCGCGCCTCAGTGCTCTTCCCCTCTATACCTGTCACAGGTTCCCTTTTTTTTTTCTTTTAAGATTTTATTCTTTTTTTTTTTAAGATTTTATTTTATTTTATTATTATTTTTTAAAGATTTTATTTATTTATTTGAGAGAGAGAGAGAGCACATGAGAGGGGGGCAGGGTCAGAGGGAGAAGCAGACTCCCCGCTGAGCAGGGAGCCCGATGTGGGACTCGATCCCGGGACTCCAGGATCATGACCTGAACCAAAGGCAGTCGCTTAACCAACTGAGCCACCCAGGCGCCCTAAAGATTTTATTTATTCATTTGAGACACAGAGATACAGAGAGAGAGAGAGCATGAGCAGTGGGAGAGGCAGAGGGAGAGGGAGAGGAAGAAGCAGACTCCCCGCTGAGTCAGGAGCCCGACGTAGGGCTCGATCCCAGGACCCCGGGATCATGACCTGAGCCGAAGGCAGACGCTTAACCATCTGAGCCACCCAGGCGCCCAAGATTTTATTTTTTTAAGTAATCTCTACACCCAACATGGGGTTTGAACCTACAACTCCAAGATCAAGAGTCCCATGATCCACCTACTGAACCAGCCAGGCTCCCCCATCACAGGTTCAAAGGTCACACAGCTACTGGCTGGCAGAAGAGGGACCGCACCTGGAGCTCCAGCACTGATCCTGTCACCGGCCCTTTGGGGGCAGGTGAGGATGGCAGCGTCTCTCCTGTGGACTTGTGCTCTGATGGCGCCTGGGGCCGTGGAAGGTGAGGGGGCTTCCTGGAGGCTTTCTCTGGGCCCGTGGATGATGGTATTGTCTTTGGGAAGGAATCCTCTGCGTATTTTCTAAGGAAAGTCTCAGAGATGGTGGGAGTGGGCACACTTTGAACTCTGCCTCCGTCCCCTGTGGGGTGGCTGGGCAGCCACCCCGTTAGATGGGGAGACCGAGGCTGGAGACAGGGAGGAGAGCCAGTGTTGGTGGCTATAGCAGGGGCTAATGTCCCCTGAGCACCCACATGCCTGACTCAGACACCTGGACTCTGGCCACACTCCCAAAGCCCAGGAAGGCACCTGCTGCAGGTGCTTGGGGTAGGTGGGGTGGGGAGTCAGGTCCAGGTCAGGCCTGAGCAGGTGGGCACATCCTTGCAGTGACTGCCCACGTGCAACTGGGCAGAAGAACCCAACCATTCAGTTGAGCCCGGATCGAAATGTGGAACTGTCGGCAAATAATTTGCTGTTTTATCTACTAAATTTCAGGATGGTTTGTGTTGAAGCAATAAATATTTGATGGCAGGCTCCGTGGCCTTGGAGGGGATGCATATTCCCTCCAGATTCAATCTCCTGTCTACAAAATTGGTCCATAGGAAGCTTTCAGAACTTAACATCCAGAGGATAACATAAAATACAGGGACATGCTCCGCAGCCTGGAAAGCCCCATCAGGTCGGGGAGACAAGGGCAGCAATCAGCGAGGCACTCGTGTGGTTGCTTTCCGGGTTGGGGCTTGAGCTGTGGGCAATTAAAACCCCCACATCCTCAAGGCCCGTCATCCTGGAGCCCACTGGAAGCCCCCACCCAGGCACCCCAAATCATGGAACATCTACAAATCTGTGGTTACAGTTCAAAGCAGTGAAAAGCCTTGCCTGGGGCCAGCCCCCTGGGCAGCATCCTTGGCCCCTCATGTGCCGTTCTAGTGAATTCCCAGATGCTCAGTTACAGCAGGAAACTCACTCCTTTAAATTACAATAATTGTTAAAGTTTTATGTTTTAGTTTACTTTATCAAATATTTATTGCTTCAACACAAATCACCCTGAAATTTAATAGATAAAACAGCAAATTATGTGCGGACAGTTCCACATTTCGACCCGGGCTCAACTGAATGGTTGGGTTCTTCTGCCCAGTTGCACGAGGGCAGTCACTGCAAGGATGTGCCCACCTGCTCAGGCCTGACCTGGATTACTGGTGACAAAGGAAGGGATAAGGCACAAAAGAACGAGGCGGTCAACCAGTCAATGACTGCGCACCAGACAAGGGGGACATTAACACACACAGGCCCCCCCCGGCCTCACGGACCCACTGAGGTGAGACTCTGAGAAGGACCTCACGTCACCTCTGAGGTCTCCTGCCAAAAAAAACATGACTTGAACCTAATCTCAAGGAAGCATCACACAAACTCAAGTTGAGGTACAATCTGCCCCCAAACCTGACCTCCCCCGTGCTCCTGATTTCCTGTAACCCTGTCCTTTGGCAGAAAAAGTCCAACCCCACATTGGTACCACAAACCACCTTTCAAACACCTATCCTAGACTGCTGAAAGCTTCTAGAGACAAACTATCAACAGTGGCACCAGTCATTGCCACTGTGGCCTCGGCATGTGGTTTGGTGGTTCCCATCATCGCAGCCGACCACCACGGTGTGTGAGCCTAGCCAAGACCAGGAGAGCTTCCTCGCCGAGTTCAGCCTAAACACTAATCCAGTCTTGTGAGCTCAATTGCTCTGGCCACTGGGGTGGTTTGTTACACAGCCTAATTGTGGCCATAAGATGACTGACACAGTTTGCTTTCGGCTAATGACAGAAAAGCCAACCCAAATGAGTAAAGCAGAGAAGAAATTTATCGGCTTGCTAACAGGTTACTTTAGTCACAGCAAAGGCTTCAGGTACAGCTTGAGGTGGAGCTCACTGTCATGTTGTCATCCAGCTCTCTCTGTGGCTCAGCTCAGCTCCACTTCCTATCTCGTGTTGTTCCCAGACAGCTCAGCTCCACTTCCTATCTCGTGTTGTTCCCAGACAGCCTTAATCCTCATGCCTGCAAGATGGCTGCAGCAGCTCCAGGCCTCACAGCATCTCATCTTGTGAACTTAGCACAGAAGAAACAGAGCTCCTCTCCCTAAAAGTCCTGGGCCTGTGTCTCAGTGACTTAGAGAAATAAAGTCATGTGATCATCCCTGGGCCAATTGGTGAGACTGGAGGGGGGGATGGGTAGAATATGCTGATCAGCTTAGATCTTCCAGAGGAAGGAGGATGCCCCAAAGAAATGTGGGTTGCAGAGGTCACCACCTGCACAACCTCAGCTGCCTCCATCAGGTCTCTCACCAGCCCTTGGCCAAGTCCTTCTCCAGCATGCTCATCTGCAAAATGAAGATCTTCATGGGACAGGCCTCCGGAGTGGTTGTGAGTGTGCTCAGAACTTGGAACAGAGCCCAGAGCATCGGGAGAGCCTCAAAAGTGTGAGCCATCACCATCATGACCACGGCCTCACCCTCCATTCCCTCATGTGGTGCGTCTGACGCAGGGTCGCACTTTCCGTCTCCGCACTCCCTCCCTCAGCCTCTGTGACTTCCTCTTCCTCCTTCCTGATGTTCCTTCCTGGGATCCTTTTATTCCATGTACCCCTTCATAAGGGGGCTCCCCAGGACTTAATCCTGGACCCACTGCTCTGCCTACTCTTCTTGATTCTCGCCCAGGTGGTGCTGGATCAGTCTCTCCAGGGAGTCCTCCCTCCTGGGCATCCAACCCGTGGATCCAACAGCTTGTTGGATTAGTCCTCAAGGTCAAGGTCGCCTCAAACACCATGCGACCAAATGAACTCAGCTTCCCCCCCCACCCCCCCGCCCAGGGCTGTTCTCTCTGTTCTGTATTCTCCATCCCATTGATGACCCCTCATCTACCCATGCAACAGCTGGAAATCTGGGAGTCATCCTTGAATTCTTCCTAACAGTAGCTACCATTTATTTAGTGCCTACTGTGTGCCGGAGACTGTGTTAGATGACCACCCGGGGTCCAAATCCCAGGTCCCCACTTGCTAATCACCTGACCCTGGATGTGTTCCTCAGACTTAAGCCCTCATTTCAGCATTTGTAAAGTGGAGATGATGAGTCCCACCTCAAAGCATCGAGGGGCTTAAAGGATGCATGAAAATCAGCTAGCACAGAGCTGGGCATGCAGTAGGCACTCAGTAAATGCTGGCTGTAGTGGACATTTGCAGTCGCTCTTCTCAGGATCTCTTCCTACCAGAACTTCTTAATCGTGCATTTGGGTGAGATTGACGCACACGCACAAATGTGCACACTCACACACACACCCAGCTCTTGGGGTAGCCCTGAATGGCTCCACCAGTTGGTACACCCACTGCCTGGTCAGGGCGATTACTTTAGGGATGGACAATCCAGGTTAGTGATACAGAAGAAAAAATTGCTGGAAGCTCCTGGAAAAGAAGTTCTTCAAGAATGATGGGAAAAGAGCCCCCACCACCAGAAATAAGAGGGAGGAGTATATAGCTTCTAGCATTGGCTGCGGGTAGAGCCTCACCCAAAACCCGCAGTTAGGACTTCTCAATTATGTGAGCCCATAAATTCCCTTTGTGAGAAATACTTTGAGCTGGGTTTTCTGCTACTTATAACCAAAAGCCTTCTCGCTCCTCTAAAGAAAACCTTCCTGAGTTCATGCACACTATTCTCTTGGCCCAGAACCTTCTGCCGCCATTTTGTACCTAACTCTTACTCACTCTTTCAGGCTCCACTCGTGTGTCAGGTTCTCCAGGAGGCCTTGCTGGGAAGGCCTCCACCTCTGCCTCCCCACGCCCAGGGTA